GGGGGGTGTTTGAGGGACTGTCACTATACTAATTCTAAAAGATTTTCACTGTCCTTCTCTTGTGCTCCCAATTATCTTCTGCCTTGCATTCTCTTAGTTCTTCTACACTATCTTGAAGGTAAGGACCATGTTTTATTGTCCCTTATATCCCATCCACATGGGGAATTTTGATCTGCTCAGTGAAAGTCTGATGAATGGATGGGAAAAATACTGAAAATATGAACTGAGCATGCCCAAGGATAACTGTCAAGATGTTAGCACAGGTAGCACAGGAAGGTATCTTCATGCATGACCCTAATTGAAGCTGCTTCCCTTTGCAGTTCACTGATGACTCCAACACAGAATAAAACTAGAGGGAGCAGCGCTGGATTGAGTAACAGGTACCACAATGGTCCCTTAGAGACTGATGTGATAATAACAGTTTACTATCTGAATGGGTAAATGCCACACATAAATTCCACTCGGATGTCTGGTAAACCTTGGGAGCTAGGAAGAATGGCCAGGGAAGTCAAGCCTGGGAAACAGTTTGATGCATGGGAATGTAGGTCAGAACAAGGGATTGTCTCCACCACACCCACTTTTGCCATGAAGAGTGTCTGAGCTGACTCTGCAAAAGGCAGGGAGAAGGGTTAGTAGTTGTTGTAGCTAATCTCTTACATTGATTTCCTCAGGAGAGGCCCACCTCCATGCCTTTGCTCCTGCTGCTTCCTCAGCCTGGAATATGCATCCTTCTCTCCTCTCTTTAAGTTTTCACGGGGCTAGATCGTTTTTTTTTTTTTAATAAATTTAACACGATTACAACAAATAAGTTTTTTCACTAGTCAATGATTTTCAAATGCATACAGCAGTCAAGACGGCCTTGCCTATAGGAACAGCTTGCAAGTTTAACAAAACCTCAAGACCATCCACATTCACCCATGCTGTAGACCATGATGGTTTGAGTAGTTCTAAGTAGGACAACCTCTGAAGACCTACTTTGGTGGATATTAATATTTAATATCCCTTTTTAACATCACTGTTGAACTTCTTTGCCATTTGTTTGCACAGTCGTCCAGGTTTGGGCTATTTCTGCTTCGTTCTGAATACCACCAGGTCTCTAGTTGCTTTGCAACTGGATTCTCTCTTTTTTGGCCACACCACGCAGCTTGTGGGATCTTAGTTCCCCAATCAGGGATCGAAACCAGGCCCTGGGCAGTGAAAGAGGAGGGGTCCTAACCACTGGACCGCCAGGGAAGTCCCATGTATCCAATTCTTTAATATATTTTTTAAGTGAACAAAAGATAGTTGGGTGGTAGAAGATGAGTTTTATGTATCTCTTTTATACCACAAAGAAATCCAGGTCTGTGTACACTTAGGTTATGAAAGAAAATAACTGAACTAAAACACCATTGGGGCTGCATCTTCCCTTAGTATTATATACCACTATCATTCTTTCAATTCCCTCCAACCAAGACCAACTGATAACTTCTTCCAAGAGGTTAATATGTGCAAATATCTGTGCCCTTGTTTTCTAACCTTACCCAAATGTATGAACTTCCTTCCCAACGGGACAATATCACAAAATATTAGAATGCTGGATATTTACACCCTGGGACTCTGATGGGGATAAGTATTATTCAGTTAATACAAGTCTAGGGCTTCCCTGGTGGCGCAGTGGTTGAGAGTCCGCCTGCCGATGCAGGGGACACGGGTTCGTGCCCAGGTCTGGGAAGATCCCACATGCCGCGGAGCGGCTGGGCCCATGAGCCATGGCCGCTGAGCCTGCGCGTCCGGAGCTTGTGCTCCGCAACGGGAGAGGCCACAGCAGTGAGAGGCCCGCGTACCGTAGGAAAAAAAAAGAAAAAAACAAGTCTGAAATAAGAAGAATTTTTTTAAAGGTACTCAAATAAGTCTCAAATTTTAATAAGATCCCCTATAAACACATTTATTTGCTACTGAAAATTGAAACAGCACATCAAAAATTTTTATTACAATTCAACACGCTGTTCTAACAATGCTGTGGTCAAGCCACCCAACGTTTTCTTCACTTTCCTTCCACACAAGTTAATTTGCTTCACAAAGTGGAACTAAAATATATTCAAGTCATTCAAATGCAAGCTACATAGATTCCTTATAAGTTACTGTATTAAGGTAGTAAAGAGATGCAAGAAAAATGGACATCACAGAACTTGTAATATAGGTTATCAAAATATTGGTGCACAATCTTTCCCAAGCTTCATAATGATCCTAAAATTACCAGGAAGAAAAACTAGTACAAGAATAAGGTTTATGGCTCCTTCGACTCCATGTCATAATTACTGTAATACTTATTGTTGTAATAATTCTCATAATTATCCTCAGAAGGATCTCTATGAAACCAGCAAAAACGACAGCTACTTCTAAATCTTTGCCCTCTTGACTGAGTCTCAACATCATTCTGCCGTGGTTCTCTTTGAGAGTCAGACCGAGGAACTCCTTTGCTGTAGCGTCTTTTAATAGATTGAATCAGACGTTCTATCTCATCTCTCTGATCAGTTAACACGGTCCTCACCCCTCTCCTATAGGGTATAGTTTCACCAAGTAACCGCGCAGTTGGTTGAGGTAGACATTCTGGTAGAATGAATGGCAATTTGATACTAGGGTTGGGCGTCAGGTTACTGAGGTTCTTTATTAACACTTCAGACATAGGTTGAGAGGCAACTGGAATTGCCTGGGAATTTTCATCAATGGATGTTTGAGGAGACTCCAGGGTCCAGGTTGGGTTAACCTCAGATGAATCCATGGGGAGTCTTGTCACAGCTTGAAGCTCCTCCTAGACCTTTGGGTTCCACTGGCAGGTGATGCTTTAGACTCAAATTGCTACAAAGTAGCCTGGAAGAACTATAGAGCTAAGAAAGAGGGAGAAAAATCCAAGCTGACACACCATGGAAATCCAACCTCATGGGGCTAGATCTTAACCATCCTTCAGGGTCTGTCTCAAAGTTCATGTCATGGGAACCTCCCTAATTTCTCTGGGTGATCTATCCTCTAAACCATCAAGCTATTTGAGATTCTCACCACATTCTACCTCATGGCATTTCCCTTTGCCCCCTCACCTTATCACTCCTCTTGGACTGTGGGTAGGGATCATGTTTGATGGATGTCTGTGCTCCAGCCAGGCCTGGCACAGATTCTGAGAGAGAGAGAGGGAGAGGGAGAGAGCAGTGAGAAAAGGGAGAGGAAAGGAGGGAAAGTGAAGGAGGTTATGGAAAGGAAAGAAAAAGAGAGGAAAGGAGGGGTGGGAGAGCGAGGAGGGGAAGGGGAAAAAAACCTTAGTAGAAACTTGGAAGTTAATGAATTAATTTTTAAAACCAGTAAAATTGGCTATTACTGCATTTTTTGAAAAGATAACTAAATTAAATCAAATCAAATTTGTATGGAGTTACCTTCAAAGCCTAAGAATGACCAAAGATGGCTACATTTGCAATGACTAAGCCACTGAACTTGTGGACATGTTCTAGATACTGTGGAATGTGCCAACAACTCCCTAGAACACACCTTGACACAGCTCAGCATTATACAGCTTTGCCTTTGACCACATCAAAAGATCATGTGGTCTCTGTTCTGAGAACAATTTTGAGTTTCTAATAATAACAGTAACAAAAACAATTAATATTTGTTTAGCACTTATTATGTTCTAGGCACATAATGCCACACGTGTGTTCTTTCATTTAAAGTTTAAAAACCCTATGAGGTAGTTACTGTTCATTACCAACTCCATTCTACAATGGAGTTGGAAACAATGGACTTAGGAAACTAAGTCGCGGTTGGTAAACATTAGAGCAGGGATCGGACACCCTCATCACCCAGCCCTTCCAGAGTCCCATCTTACCCTCTGCTCTATTCTACATTCTGTTCAACAATACAATTTGACTGGACTGACACTTTTAGATCCAGCCTGAACTAGGATTGCCAAAGAGCAAAGTTTCAATGAAAAACTTCATAAGAAAACACATAATTTGTAGGTAAATAGGAACACAAATTATAAAAATGGCATCAGGACCAGAGAACTCAGGCCACCAAGTGAGAACAATAAGGAAGATAAGCTCCTCTTGGTCCTCTTAAATGAAGCAAAATAATACTAACTACTAATTTTCAAATGATTGCTTCGCAGTTTATAAACACTTTTTGTGTCAGTTTTCCTATTTTAGGCTCGCAATTCTCCAAAGGCAAAACTATGGTATCCATTTTGCAGATGAGAAAACTCTTCGTCAACGAGGCTTAGAATTGCCCAAGCCAGTCTGGTATGGGGAGCAGGAGGGAACAGAGACCTGAGGTCAGGTTTTCCCACGCTGTATCTTGGCTCCTTCCTCTTTGTTTCAACAAGTCGTCCCCACGGTGTTTGTGACTCATGTATAAAAATCACCTTGAGGGACTTCCCTGGTGGTCCAGTGGTAAAGAATCTGCCTTCCAATACAGGGGACACGGGTTCAATCCCTGGTTGAGGAACTAAGATCCCCCATGCCACGGGGCAACTAAGGCCACGCCACAAA